ATTTTGGTCAGGGGATGTAGTTTAATGGTAGTGTGCTTGCCTAGCATGTGCAAGTACCAGTATCACCAAATAAAAGAAAAAAGTCATTTCAGTTCTTTATTATAACCAAGACAGAAAGGATAGAGGAAACTAGAAGAGAGAGATACCAAAAGAAGATAAAACATTCAGTCAGTATTGCACATTTAATACACTAATTTTGCTGCTATTATATATACCTAAAATAAAAGATAAATAATAGGAACTAGGGAGATCAATCTTCCTCAAATGGGAGGAAGATCAAGAGATGGGGGGTGACTAGGGAATTGGGACGTGCTGTGTACATGTACCAGTGCCACCCATGGAGTGTGAACACTGTGTCCTGCAAATATGTACTAATAAAAATAAAAATATATCCACCTAAGTATATGTCCTCCATTCAGTTGAGGACAGAACAAAGTCCTGGCTTAAGAGTGGGAGGGGGGTCTGGGGATTTAGCTCAGCGGTTCCGTCGCCTGCCTCTCGAGCACAAAGTCCTGAGTTCGATCCCTGATACCAAAAAAAAAGGAGTAAGGAGTGGAAGTCGATGATTAAAGATGCATGGAAGTTTGAGGAGAGACCAGAAAGCAATAGGAATCCTGCTATGCAAGCACCATAGGAGAGGGTCTGCCGAGAGGACAGCCAGCAAGTGCAGAGGCCTTAAGGAGGAAATGCCTAGAATGTTTGAGAAACATCTTAGAGACCAATATGGTTCTGGCTTATATTTTTAAAAGATCACCCTGGAAGCTGGGTGAACTATAGATTAACCTTGTGCATGTTCCATTTCACTGTGGGTAATCTATAACATTAATTCCTAGGTGTGAGGTTGCTGAGCCTCAAGGCAGTGTAATTTTGATGTATATGGCAAAATTTCCATCTGGTTTCCACTTCACCAGCCATGTTGAAGAGACCAGTTTCTTCATAGCCTTGCACACACTAAGAATGAAGCTTTTGGGAAGTGGGAACTTTTTCTTTTCTTTTCGTTCTTTTCTTTTTTCTTTCTTTTTTTTTTTTTTTGGTACCACGGTTCAAACTCAGGACCTTGCACTTGTGAGGCAGGCACTGGAACCACTGAGCTAAATCCCTAGCCCAAGTTGGAATTTTTCAATTGGTCAAAAGCCACAAAATCAGAATGGTGGCAAGGTTGCATTCCTTTTGGAAGCACTCAGAGGAAGTCCATTTCCTTGCTAGTTATCATCTACATTCCTTTGCTAATGGTTAGATACTCTATCTCCAAATCCATCAGCATAGCATTAACTTTGTTCAGTCATTTCGTTACCTTTTATGAGGACCCTGATTCCTCCCTCTAAAGACCTTGGTGACTGATTACATTTTGCCTGCCCATGTACTCCCTCATCTCAAAATCCTGAATTTAATCACACCTGAAAAGTCCATTTTTCCCTATAAGGTAACATTCACAGGTTCCAGGGATTAGAATGTGGACATCCGTGTGAAGGGGTGCAGAGGGGAGAGGCACTGGTTTGTTTTCCTGTGATATTCTCCTAGCCTTGCTTGTGATCTGTGTGGTTGTTTTGCTTTTTTGTGTGTGTGTGGTACTGGGGATCGAACTCAGGACCTTGGGCTTGCAAGGGAGGTGGCAGCACCACTGAGCTAAATCCCTGGCCCTTTGCTTTTGTTTTTGCCACTTCGCGTTTATCTTGGTACACAGTGTGAAATACAGATCGGATTTTTTTTTCCAGACAGCTCTTTCTAATAAATAGTCTCAGCCCCATTTATTGAAAAGTTCAACTTTACCCTAAAATATAGTATATTCCTGTATATAGCTTAGTTGCTTTTTGGACTTTCTATTTTGTTCCACTGTCTGTCTATGTAAAAAGTATATTTTTATTTGTGTTTTGTTTCATTTTTTATTTTTTGTTTAGCTTTTTGGTTTCTGCTTAGGGAGGGTTGTTTGTTGGTACTGGGGACTGAACCCTGGGGCCTTCACACCTAGTTACATCCCCAGCCCTTTTTTTATTTTTCATTTTGAGACAGGGTCACCAAGTTGCTCAGTCTCTCAGAGTCCTAGGATTATAGGTATGTGCCACCACATCTAGCTAAAAGTACAGGGTTTTTTATAATATGTAATAGTATCTGGTGGGCCTGACAAAATTTACTCTTCTTGTCCACCCCTTCATCCATGCATACATACAGTACCTTGCTGTTCTTTTTTCAAGGTTTTCTTTGCTATTATTATTTATTTTTCCACATGAACTTTAGAATCAACTTGTTTGATTTCAGGGAGGAAAGGTATTCGTTGCATTAGAGTAACTTTATGAAGTTAGATCTTGCTGTCTTTGAACATGATATTCTTTCAAGATACTTTGTTCCTTCAGTGGTGTTTTTTTGTTGTTGTTGTTGTTTTTGTTTTAATTTATTTTTTGGTACCAGGGATCGAACTCGGGTCCTTGCACTTGTGCAGCAGGCAGCAAAATCACTGAGCTAAATCGCTGGTCCATTCAGTGGTGTTTTAATATTTTTTTATATCAATTTTACACATGTCAAATTTATCCCCAGCTTTTTTAATCTTTCTTTTTATATATAAAATGGAAGAAAAGAGCCTCTTTGTTTCTCTTTGTGATTAGTTTTTATGTATGAAAGCTATGGTTGATACATTTACAGTGTTAATTAAAAGTTATTAAGTTATATACTGCTACTTGTCTCAGTTACTTTCTTATTTATAGTAGTTTTTTAGCTGAGTCTTTTGGTTTTCCCAGTATACAGTTATGTGTCTTCAAATAATGAGAGTTAAACTTTATAATTTTTATACTTCTGCCTTTATCTGTGTCTTCCATTATGCTGTTAAATAGCACTGGTGTTGGACACATCTGTCTTATTCCTTACCTTACTGAGAAGGGATTATGTCTCCCTATAAAAGTATTTGCTGGCTTTGAGTTTCTCTCTTGCTCTTTCTCCTCTCATATTAAAGAAATACATAGGGCCGGGGATTTAGCTCAGTGGTTCCGCCACCTGCCTTGTAAGCACAAGGTCCCAAGTTCAATCCCTGGTACCAAAAAAAAAAAAAAGAAAAGAAATACATAACAGTTCCTATTTTACTCTTTTTGTCTCATCAAGAATAAATATTGAGGGGCAGGAGATTTAGCTCAGTGGTTCCACTGCCTGCCTCCAAAGCGCAAGGACCCAAGTTCAATTGCCGGTAGCCAAAAAAGAAAAGCATTTAAAGAAGTAAATAAAAAAAGAATAAATATTGAGGGCCGGTGATTTAGCTCAGTGGTTCAGCTGCCTGCCTCGCAACTGCAAGGTCCCGAGTTCAATCCCGGTGCAAAAAAAAAAAAAAAAGAGTAAGTGTTGAATTTGTTAAATGCATTTTTGGTATAAATACGTAATATGGTCTTACTTAAGCTTATTAATATGACTTAGTAACCTTTAATATCTTAAAATAAATTCTCAGATTCAAAGATTAAATATGCTGTCATTTATACCTCATGTTCTATAAAGTAGGTCTTAAATTTATGCACCATTGGGAGGGGATTTAGCTTAATGGTTCTGCTGCCTGCCTCGCAAGCACAAGGGCCAGAGTTCAATCCCCGGTACCAAAAAAAAATTATGCATTATTTCTCTCCTGTGTGGCTTTTTATCATTGCCCAGTGGTATCGTGCCTACTTACAACAGGTGCTTGTTATAAATGGCCTTTGTTTTTGTTCAAAGACTTAGTAAAATCAAGCTGAGGGCCCGGGATTTAGCTCAGTGGCAACATGCCTGCCTTGCAAGCGCAAGGTCCTAAGTTCAATCCCCCCAAAATAAATAAATAAATAAAAAATTTTAAAAAGTAAAATTAAGCTGAGAATTTGATTTGGTTCATGAGCTGAAGAATGCCCTCCACATGGCAGAAGAGGTGAGGCTAAATCTGAGCTGGCCTTTTAATGGTACCTGCTTAAATTCTCCTAATAGTTTGTTTTGTATTTTGTCTTCCAATAATGGTAAAATAAGAAAGAATATGGTCTAACCACAGGAAGAAAAGTGTTGGGATTAATTAACCCATCTGGATGAGTTCTAGTTGGTTTTAGGTTTCAAAGAAACACTACGAGAACATTTTTTTGTATGTCTGTTTCATTCTTTCTGTCCTCAGGGAGCCCACTATGTAGCCCAGGCTGCCCTTGAACTCGGGGTGATCCTCCTGCTTCAGCCTCCCAAGTGCTGGGACTAAAGGTGTGGGCCACCAAGCCCAGCTAAAATATGTCATTCTTGTGATTAATTTCAGAGCTAGGAGTACAGTGTGGCTCAGCAGTGGAGTGCTTGCCTAGCACATGCAAGGTCCTGATCTCTAGCACAGGAAAGAAAAAAAGAGATTGATGTCACCTGTTCCTTTTCACTGTTGATGTGACTATTAGAAAATGTTATGTTGCACATGTGACTTACATTGTACTTCTATTGGGCAGCACTAGTTTAGAGGTACTAGGTCTGTGGGTACTTATTTACAGATATTACAGTGATTTTCATACTTTTAAAAATTACAGTTTTATATCCTACCTTATCACTTTGTTTCTTATGAGAATAAACTTTAATGACTTCTATAATCTAATCATTCCCCATATTAATGGGTTACCTCCTCTCTGATTCTTCTGTTTAACTATTTATACTCACGAAAGTTAAACATAGTAGGCTTCTTGAGTTTTGAAATTCCACTCAACATTCAAGAACTGCTGTGAATAGAAATGAGAGTTAATTTAGAGGTCTGAGGTCTGCTTTTTGCCTTATCCTATAGAATATATTTTAATAGAAGCTCCCTACCTCAAAATACAATGTGCTTTAACATTTCTTCACACTTTTTCTCCATTACTCTAAAAAGCAGCCTTCCCCCATATTCTTTTAAGGAGAGCTGGAGTTTAGCATCTTTTAGTTCTGTCTTGTTGCAGGATCCTGAGTATTGTGAATAGTTCTTTTCTCAACTCTTTTATTCTTCAAAAACCAGAAACAAATTACTCACAAAGCCTTTTTTATCTTGCCTTTTGTTACATTTTCAGGAACATGATATCACAGATGATATTGGAATATCAACTTGGAAGGAGCAGACTTTCCTCTCCCATGGTGCCTTACTAGCGAAGAGCTGCCAAGCTGCGATGGAATTAGCAAAGCACAATGCTGAGGTTCAGGGTACGGCGTTTCGGTATGGAAAGCACGTGGCCATGAGTCATAAGGTGTGTGTGTGCCCTTTATCTGTCGCCATACTTAAATAGCTAAAGGTGATACACAGGAAACATTTTGCCATTTAATAAGCTGCTTTTATGTCTCAAAAAAATGTTTATTATGTGTTTAAAATCTGCCAGTTATAGATGGTGATTGTTATGTAATGCAAACAGTATGATTGGAAAGTACTATGTAATTTGGACAGAAAGCTACAGTTTACTAAGCCACGTTGGTGATGTTTGTCTTTTCTTTCCACCTGAAAGGGTTCCTGAGAGAACTCATACAAATTATTAAGTATCAGATAATATTACCATTCACAGAGTGGAAAAATATTTGTTATTTTTGTCAAAGTTCCCTTATAGTTTCTTATGTAAAATAAATATGGAAAGTTGATGAAATTTAGAAATATAGTGAATAAAATTGAAAGCTTTAATTCTAACCAGATTCATTTGAATGGCATACGAAATATGTAATACCCCAAAAGTAGCTACTTATGTTGTTGCCTCTCCATCTCTTTCTCTGTCAGTCTCTCCCTTTCTCAGTCTGTGTGTGTGTGTATATAATTTTAAATTTTCAGTTAGTATATATTTTTGTGATGTTACTTAATAGCTGATAAGCAGGGAATATATATATATATATAATTTGATGAGCTTGCATATTTTGTTAGTTATTAGATTAGTTTATTAGGTAATTATATTTATTAAATCTTTATCTAAATCCTTACCTTGAACTTGAAATTAAAATACAGTCTGCTACCAAATAAAAAAAAGATGGTAAAGCATATGTTTAGCATGCTCAAGGTACTGGCTTTGCTCTCTAACACCCAAGGATGGAAAGAAGAAAAGAAGAAAGAGAAGGAGAAAAGGAGGAAGAGAAAATTAATGATAAAGAATTTTAAAGATTATTGTCAATCATCCAAAATGTTCTTTTATTTACTAAAGTATATTTAAAATCTACATTCCTTAAGCTTCATTTTTTACTGCATTAACTGGTGATTTCTAGTATGACTGAAACATACTAGTGTATATAGATTTTATTGATATAACTCTTTACTCCTTCTAGATACATTCTGACCTCCAGCCTTTTATAAAAGAAAAATCCAGTGATTCCGTGGCTTTTAATCTAAACTCAGCACCTGTGGTTTTACATCAGGAGTTTCTTGGAAGAGATTTGTGGATGAAGCAGATCAGAGAGGTAAAATAAAATCACTCCTATTTTAGGTACCATTAATTTTTTTTTTTTCCTTTTGGTACCGGGGATCGAACTCGGGTCCTTGAGCTTGCGCAGCAGGCGGTGAAACCACTGAGCTAAACCCCTGGCCCGGTACCATTAATATTTAGTTGATTTTAAACATAGTTTGTATTTCATAATGATTTAAGCTATAGATCAGCCATAAAAGCATATTTATTTAACAGGCAAAATTCTTTCCTTATAATCTACATTTTTAAGAGGATATTAGTTAGAAGTTAGAGACTGCACTATTGCTTTTTTTATTATCTGAGTTCTTTGAATACTGCAGCAGAACACCAAAGCCTGTGGTGAATGCTAATTAACTCAGATGACTTTTTTTCTAAAGGCTTTCAGCCATCGGGCTATGGTAATAGCACCACCCTTTAACTGACGGCAATTTCCCATCTGTGGACTCTAGCGCAAGCTGCAGAATTCCAGGAGCTCCGTCTGTCAGCTCTTTGGGTTATTTTAAAACAAACTTGGACCTTATACATTCGTTCTGAGGCATTATCAAAGATAAAAGCAGCATGGTGAAGCAAGAAGGGTAAAGGGGCTTGGATTAGGTAAATCTCCCACCTTTTGGAGGCATGAAGATAGAACAGGAGAAGGAACTTTTTGGTTTTCTTTTAATTCAGAAACTCCAGTGTAAAAGTTCTTGCCTTTTTACACGGAGCCTTATGAGATGTACTCACCTTCATGGTTGTGATTGGTTGGGTTAATCTGAGGCCCTGAACTAGGAAAACCATGTACCACAGAGGACGGGGAAGACAGGGGTAGATACCATACTTACAGCAGATCACCATGGACAGCAGCATTCTGAAAGACAAGGTTCCCCTCTCTCAACCCTCTTCTTGTATTGACTCTCAAAATGCTAGCAGCCAGCTTAAAATCCCTCCTATTCACCACGTAGAAACCTGGAGGAATCCTTCCTTAGGAAACTGTCAAACCCAGGAAAGAGACCCACAGATATGGCTGTTTGGGCCACTCTCAGTAAACGTGCCATATCTGTCATCAGTCCTCAACAGTGAGACCTTCCAGTCAGCAAGTCTCAGTGTGTGGTCATGCACAAGAATCTCCAGCTGCCTCACTGACAAGGAGAATAAATTACAGAAGACCACAGGGCTTCCCCATGAAAGAAAAAGTCGAAAACCAACTAATGAAAAAGGGGACTCAAAGGAAACAGAGATGATGCAAGGAAAGAGATATTTTCAGAAGCACTTTAGCAAGATATTAAACTGAAACAAGAAAAAGTGCTTATAAAATATAATCAGAATTGCTGAGCACTGTGGCCCACACCTGTAATCCCAGTACTCAGGAGGCTGAGACAGGAGGATCTCCACAAGTTTGAGGCCAGCCTGTACTACATAGTGAGTTCAAGGCTAGTCTATACTACATAGGGAGACCTTGTCTTAAAAATAAAAAAAGTATAGGTAGATAGATAGATCGATAGATACAGACAGACAGACAGACAGGCAGGCAGACAGAGTTAAGGCTTCTGTCTAGATTGTGTCTAGCTGTCCCCCCTAGAGCCTCATGCAGTCATAAGTGAGGCTTTTTCAGAGGTGGCTGGATCTAGAGTGTGTGATGCTGGGATTGATTCATGGTGCAATGCTAGGCTGAAGGGCACTAGGGTTAAGGGTGTGAGTGCTGCCTGCCCTAAGTGGTATGGATAAGATAAAAGGGGCCAGAAGATGCTGTTGAGGCCCCTTGTTGCTTTTGCTGTCTTCTGTGGGCAATGAACTGTTTTTTCTCTGTGTTGCCTCTCTACCGTGTGCAACCCTGCCTTGGAGCCAGCCAATATGGACTGAAACCTCTACAAACTGTGTGCCAAATGAACCTTTCCCCCTTGACTTTGTGTGTCAGGTATTTTGTTTCAGCAACAAGAGGAAAGTAACTAAGACATATCTATATATAATCAGAATTATAAAATATGAATATTATCATAGAAACTTTTTTGAATCAGAAGTATAGAAGATACAAATGAGAAAATTGAAGAAGACAACAACAGAAAATAGAAAAGAAGGGCCGGGGATTTAGCTCAGTGGTTTCGCCGCCTGTTGCACAAGTGGAAGGATCCGAGTTTGATCCCTGGCACCAAAAAATAAATAC